AGTATCCCATGATGTCTTCATGAGAAAATTGGAGGATTGCTTAACCCTGAGACAGTCAGGTGGGTGAGATACTGGGTGCAAGATAGGACCCAGAGAGTCATAGTGAACGGATCTGTGTCATCCTGGCAAGAAGTGGGCAGCAGTGTCTTGCAGGGGTCGGTGCTTGGTCCAGTACTTTTCAACATGATTTGGATGTGGGGGTGAAGAAATCAGTGGCCAAGTTCACAGACGACACCAAGTTACAGGGGAGCATGATCACACTTGAAGATAGGCTACAGTTACGGGCAGACCTAGACATGCTAGCAAGTTGGGCGGACCGAAATCTGGTGAAGTTCAACGCTGAGAAATGTAAAGTGCTCCACCTCAGGACGAGCAACCCCCAACACACCTACAGGCTTGGCAGCACCAAACTGACTAGCACCATGAATGAAAGGGACCTGGGAGTAATAATAGACCACAGTATGAATATGAGCCAGCAGTGCGAAGCTGTAGCCAGTAGGGTAAATAATACTCTGGCATGCATCAATCGATGCATCTCCAGCAAAGCCAAGGAGGTGATTCTTCCACTCTACTCAGCACTGGTGAGACCGCAGCTTGAGTACTGCATCCAGTTCTGGGCACCACATTTTAACAAGGATGTGGACAAGCTTGAGAGAGTTCAGAGAAGAGCCACCCATATGATCAGAGTCTTAAAAGGCAAGCCATACAAGGAAAGGCTGAGGGATCTGGGACTCTTCAGCCTGAGGAAAAGAAGGCTGTGAGGGGACCTGGTAGCAGCTTACTGCCACACTAGGGAAGTATATCAAGGGCTCGGTGAGCAGCTGTTCACCAGGGCACCCAAGGGGAAAACCAGGAGTAATGGCTACAAGCTCCTGAAAGATCGATTCAGGCTCAACATTTAGAAAACCTTCTTCACAATCAGGGTGTCCAGACTTTGAAATAAGCTCCCCTCCAGAGGCGGTACAATCACCTACCCTGGAAATCTTCAAGAGGAGACTAGACTGACACCTTGCTGGGGTCACCTGACCCCCAGTTATCTTTCCTGCTTGGTGCAGGGGGCTGCACCCGATGATCTTCCGAGGTCCCTTTCGGCCTTATAATCTATGAATTTATAAAAACTGTTTATACACGTGCTCTGGAAGGGAGGTGGGGTGGGGCAGTGCTTTAATTAAAGTGGCTCCAAGAGCTGCTCTACTTAAAGCGCCAGAAGTGTCACGTGTATCAGCGTCTCTGTGCTGAAAAATGACGGCAGAGGCATTTTAACTAAAGCTCCTCAAACAAGCTTTAAAGCGCCCCCACCATCATTTTTCCGTGCAGGAACGCTGATACACATGACACCAGAGTCTGCTGGAGCACAGTAATTACCATGTTGCAGCAGACATGATTAATTGAGTCTGCTCTGACATGCCGTAATTACTAGCTTCACCGGGGGATGGGGCTGCAGGAAGACTTAAGGACACCTCCCGACCAAGACAGGTGACATACGCAAGGAGTACCTAGGTACGTAACAGGGGTCCAGACAGTCTTGAAAATCGGGGGGTGGCACATGCAGCAATCCAAGGCCTTAAATGCCTCTATACAAATGCTCGTGGTATGGGGAATAAGCAGGAGGAACTCGCCCTCCGAATAGCCTTTTCAAACCCAGACATAACAAGGCTCACAGAAACCTAGTGGGATTCATCCCATGACTGGGTGGTTAACATTAGGGGCAATAGGCTTTACAGAAGAGACAGAACAGGAAAGAAAGGCGGGGGTGTGGCGCTCTACATCCAAAAGCAATACACATCCTCTACCAGCAGGATGGGGTCAGAGGAGGGGCAGGCTGAAGTGCTCTGGGTCAGGATACAGGGGGGTCGTGGGGAAAGGAACTCAGTGGTGAGGGTCTACTACAGACCTCCCAACCAAGGGGAAGAGCTGGACCACGAATTCTTGGGTCAGCTTGCACTTAAGGCAAGGGATGTAGTTGTCATGGGTGATCTAAATTACCTGGACATCTGCTGGGAGGAGCAGTCAGCCAGGTCAGACCACTCACGGAGGTTCCTGGCTGAGATACAGGACCTCCACTTAACCCAGGAGGTGCACAGTCCTACCAGAGGGAATGCCCTGCTGGACCTGGTCCTGGCCACAGGTGATGACCTGGTAAGAGGCCTCCAGGTCTTCGACCACCTGGGCAATAGCAATCATCGCTTGCTGGAATTCACCATTCAGCGCAGGGTGCCAAGGTCCTGCAGCAAGGCAGTAGCCCTACACTTTAAGAGGGCCAACTTCAATGAGTTGATATTAGTGGGAGAGGTGCTGGGGTCCTCGAGAGTAGGGGAACTTAGTGCCCAAGAGGAGTGGTCGTTCCTTAAGGAGATGATACTCAGGGCCCAAGAGGTGACAATCCCAACAGGAAGCAAGGGGGGCAAGAGTGCCCAAAAGCCCCCCTGGCTCACCAAGGGCATTCGTGAATGCCTGATTGCCAAAAAGGAGGCGTACACCTGGTGGAAGGGAGAGGCTATCACCAAAGAGGAGTATACCTCCACCGCTCGGGTCTGTAGGGGGGCTGTTAGAAAAGCTAAAGCAGATACGGAGCTAGGGCTAGCGCCAAGGATCAAAGATAATAAAAAGTCCTTTTTTAAATATACAGAGAGAATGAAGAAGGCACCGGGAAATGTGGGGCCCCTGCAGGATATGCTTGGCAATCTGGTGGTTGCACCAGAGGAGAAAGCAGACCTCTTTAACAAATTATTCACCTCCATTTTCTTGCACAGGGACCAGGACTCCCTGACCAAGATTCCAGATGGACTCAGGAAAAACGCCGCCAGGCCTAAGGTTGGGGAGGACCGGGTTAGAGAGCTTCTGGAGGGTCTGGACTTGTTCAAATCGGCAGGTCCAGATGCTCTCCACCCCAGGGCGCTGAGGGAATTGGCAGCGGTTATTGCAGGGCCCCTGACATGGCTTTACGAGCACTTGTGGTGCTCTGGCTAAGTGCCAGATGACTGGAAGAAAGCCAGCGTGGTTCCCATCTTCAAAAAAGGGAAGAGGAAGGACCTGGGCAACTATAGGCCCATTAGTCTTACTTCAATCCTGGGGAAACTCTTTGAAAAGATCATCAAGGAGCACATCTGTGATCAGCCAGCAGCAGGGATGATGCTCAAGCGCAACCAGCACAGTTTCGTTAGGGGCAGGTCCTGTCAGACAAACCTGATTGCCTTCCACAATCAGGTCACAAAAGCATTGGACGCAGGTGTCGCAGTAGATGTAGTCTTTCTGGACTTCAGTAAGGCCTTTGACACTGTCTCCCACCCCATTCTCAT